CTCAGCAGCAGCCCCGGGAGGCCCGGCAGCCCTTCGGGGCATCCTCACCCTTCCTGAGAGGCTGCTTGCGGTTGAAGGTCTGCGGCACCACCAGGAACTGGCTCTCCCCCAGGAGCTCCCAGAACTGGAGCAGGCGGATGGTCCAGACGCCGGGGCGCAGCGGCCGGTTGAGGGGAGGTTTGTACTGGGTAAACTCCGCCTCGGCGTCCACCGTGATGTCGTAGGAAGTGGCAATGACGTACGTGGGGTCAATCCACACCACTGTGGCTGTCAGGTTTGGTCCCCGCGACCACTTCTGCATGGCCACTGGCTCGTCAAAAGGCCCCATGAGGCCTCCAAAGTTGCGGAAGAGCCTTTCCTTGGGATCCCACTCTGTGCCCACCTGCAAGGACAGAAGGTGCACAGCAGTGGGACACTGCGGCAGGGAGATGTCACCGCATGTGCTGTTGTGTCTCACTCTGCAGAGCTGGGGAGGGTCTGGACTCTCATCCCAGCGCAATCCACACCAGCCCAGCTCACCAGGACCAGCCCAGCTGTGTGCGACATCTAACCACAGCCACCGGGCACCAACAGCCTCAGCTCTCCCCCAAGATCCATTCAGGCTTCTTCCCCACCAACCGACTCCATGTCCCACACTGTAACATCTCCCCGCATGGAGAAATCAGAGCAAAAGCCCTGGACAGAGGTTTGTCCCCAGACATAACAGAAGGACCACATCTCTCTGTCCCTCTCAAGTGGGGAAGAGGAGGAAGGTCTGGAGAAGCAGTGGAGACTAGTGGGTGTTGAGCAGAACTCCCCATTTACCTCAAGGTTTTGTAACCTGTTTGTCTGCCCTCCATGATCTGCCAGCTTCAAAGCTCCTTGGGGCATCATCCACACCTCCAAGGACTCTGCTTGCCCAGTTGCTGAGTTTTGCACCTCCTGCATCACCAGGTAGCCCTGGAAACGGTCGTCATAGAAATATAAGTGCACACTGGATGGGAAACCCTGGGGCTCAAATCTGGAGAGACAGAGAAGAGAGAGACACGACCCTCAGCATCCCCGAAGAGCAAGATGCAGGTCGTCTTCGGAGCCCGGACGGGGCTGCAGCGAACGTCCCACCTGCAGAGCTTTTCTGCCTTTGGTGCCGGCGCAGCGGCGGCTCTGCGGAGCCCCAGCCTGGAGAAGGCCGTGTAGAAGGTGAGGGTGACGTCGCTGAGGCCGCTGAGCCCGTCGATGCGGTCGTAGACGTTCTCCCAGTAGGCCTTGAGGGCCGGCGTGTTGGGCGGGTAGTCGCCGTACAGGTGCGTGTCCAGGATCTCCAGCACCTCCTGATTCACCGTCGACTCAAACTTGCGGGCGAAGAAGGTGGGTCTGGAGAGTTGCTGGAAGAGCAAAGAGTGTTGGCTACTCCTGCCTTTATGGGAAAGCTGGGGTGAGACAGACTGCGAAAAAACATGCTGGGACCCATCCTGCCCCCTTCGTGGCACAGGCCGGGGAGCAGCAAAGCACCAACGGCCTCGGTGCGGGATCCTCTGCGCAGGATCAGCGGCAGCACACAGCACGGTTACCCGCTGTGCAGTCTGGTTCCCATCCCTCCCACTGCCCTGCAATTTGTGTGCTCAGAAGCAGCCAGGTGTCACCCAGCTCCTTAGCTGGAACCTCTATACAGACGGGTCTCCCCAGAGCCTCTGTAAAGCACGGGTTCCTGCAGAACCACAGCCCTGCTCTATATAAGCCCAAGACTGCAGCCTCTGGCAAGCAAATTCTGCTACCTTCAATTTTGGGGACTGCATATATCTTTTCCCAAACCTGCCTTGTTCAGGCTAAGCCTCTGCTCGCTACAGCGTCGTTATAAAAGGACAGTTCATCTCTGGGCATTTCGACTTGCCAGGAGGACAGGACAGCTCTCTGAAGGGGTTTTACTGGTAAGACATTTGCCCTAAGTAATCGGTCTGCAGGGAGAGAGCAGGAAACAGGAGTGAAAGCCTGGGGAGGAGAGCAACGTTGCAAGCAGCAGCCTGGCTGCTAGGCAGGATCCCTGGGGCAACGCAAACATTTGCAGAGGGCTCTGCGCGGAGCCCCAACACAGCTGGGCAGATGTGCACACCAGCCAGCCCTGCACCCCGGGCACGTCCGCAAGGGAGCTCGGAGAGGGGAGACGGAGCAGGGGAGAAGGCGGGGGAGAAAGGAGGATCTTTTTCACCTGTAGCCGTAGGAAGTCCTGAGGTTTGAAGTCATTTGGGGAGCACCCGCACCAGTCGACTATGTGTTTATATTGGCACTTACAGCCCAGCTTCCGGTTCCAGTTGGTCACTCGGAGGTTGTTATCGACCAGTGTCTCGCAGGCGTGACTGTTCTCCAGGACTGTGTGGAAGAAGGACTGTGCATGGCAGAGAACAGGCGTGAGGCCATGGGGATGGAGGCTGGGAGGCTAACGGAGCCCCCGGCCCTCACTCACACAGCAACAGGCCATGTCAATAAACAGGCAAAAGACTGTGGTAGATCCTAAACGTAAATCCAGCCCATAATGGATTGGATAACCAATAATGGAACAGACTTTGTACCCAGATTGGTGCTTATCCAGCCCAGAGGGGTGTCTGGAGCCAAAGCAGGCTAGATACAAACTGATCCTTGGCCCGTGTGTCCCACTTTCCCAGGCCTGGGCAAAGCGAAGGCACAAAGCCAAAACTAGAACACTCTGCCTTGCCCTTAGGAGCTATGCAGGGCATGGAGGAAACGGGACAGAAATATGAGTGCAGCAGGAAGAAGAGCCAGCACCATCTCGCTGTGTGTTGAGAAGGAACAGAGCCGGGAGGGCGCGCGGGGAAGGCGGCTCCGCGCCGCCTCTGCTCGCGCCGCCACAGCACCCACCTCGGCCGGCAGCAGCGTGTAGGTGTAGAACTGCCGCAGCTGGGACACCAGCTGGTCCTTGGCGTAGACCACGTACTCCACGAAGCTGCGCGTCAGCGAGAACCAGTCCGAGCCCCCGTCCACCACGATGCCCTCGGGGATGTGGCGCTCGCCCAGGCGCCACATGTGCGAGTCACACTCGTGGAACAGGCGGTCCAGGCCCTGCTTCTTGATAAACCTGGGCGTGGGGACAAGGGCTGAGCACAAGGGGTCCTCCTGCAGCTGCAAGCAGGGCTAGGGGTGCCACTCACTCCAATGGGACACAGTGTGGATCTCCGACAGGGTAAAACCAACGGAGTGACATGTGTGGCCCCACAACAGCAAAGCCACGCTCCTGTCAGCCTCAGCGAGAACAGCCCCCTGCCCTGCCCCAATTCTTCTCAGAAATCCCCCCTTTCTGATCATCCAACTCAGCCCTGGCCCCAGGCAGGGTTACCTGGCGTTGTCTCTGCCGTGGGACTTCAGGAAGTTCTTATCCCGGTACTTGGACAGGAACATCACCAGCTCCTCATTCGTCCTAAGATGCAAAAGAAGAAAGGGTTAATGCGCCCTGGAGCAAAGCGGCCCAGAAAACCTTCAAGCTGCAAATGGCCACCAAATACAGGGAGCCTAAAGCTGCTTCACAGGCACTGACTCACAACCTCATCACGTTGCTGAGGAGACACGGATCTGGCCCCTCTGCTGCCTGGGGCCTGGCCGGGGTGTGCGGCTGGTGCACACCTGTGTGTTCACATGTCCTTACACGTGCCCTCACTCTGCAACACCCAGACCACAGCAAAAAACAGCCTCCAAGGTACTGGCTGGGATCCGCAGCAGAGACGGGACCTGCCTGGCCCTGCAGCGTCATCAGCAGCACGTGGGTGCGATCATCTCCAGCCCCATCTGCCCTGAGCTCCCTGCTCCTCCTTGCGTTTCCCAGCAGCATCGCTCCCAGGGCTGCCATGGCACCAAGCAGCCCCGGCCCCTCCACCGTCCTCCCCGATCCTCCTGGCTCACCTCGTGGGGTAATCGGTGGCGCTCAGGTTGATGAAGAAGTCCCAGGGCCACTCGGCCAGCTCCAGCAGGTCCTTCATGCTACGCAGGTACATCTTCAGCAGGCTGGCACCTCCCCAGATGGTGACCATGCGCCAGGGCGTCACGCGGATGTTGGGGTAGTGCTGGGCCAGCTCCAATGCCTCCCGATGCAGGTAGTTGGAGCGCTGCCAGGGAACAAGGCTCTGGATCAGCAGGGAGCTCATCTGCACTCACTGCCCATCCGGGTTATTGACCGGGCGGTCTTGGCCTCCCCTCTGCCACCCGGCCCTCCTGCCTACCTTGTCCACGTGGATGTAGAAGAAGTGCTGCTCGTGGTACACGGCCTTGATGAGCCGCTTCAGCTGGCGGATGGCCCTGCCGTGCACAACCAGCATGTAGGCGATGCGCACCGGCGTGCCGGCGGGCGCCTGCTGCAGCCGGCTCTCGTCCCACTGGATCACAGGGCTGACCTTCCCTGCGCGGGAGGGACGCGGCCGTGAGCCTCTCCACGGCCCTCGGACGGCAAGG